AAGTGAAAAAGACCTACCATACCAGGTGTTGGAGAGGATGTGGAACACCCAGAACTTTCATCTGTGGTTATTGGGAGTGTAAAATAGTACGACTGTGGAGAACTGTTTGGTAGTTTCTTATAAAGTAGAACATTCACTTGCTATATGACCCAACAGCTCCATTCTTAGGTATATGCCTAAGAGAAATAATTACCTATGTCTGTAATAAAAGACTTCGATGTGAATGTTTAATTCATAATAGCCAAAAGCCAGAAACAATGCAGATGTCCTTCAACAGGTGAATGGATAAACTAATTGTGGAATATGTATGCAAAGAAATACTAGTTGGCAAAAAAAAACCTACTGATACATAAAACAATGAGGATGGATCTCAGAAATATTATGGTCTGAATGAAAGAAGCCTGACCAAAAGAGTACATGCTGTATGATTCCATTTATTCTACAGCAAGCAAAACTGCAGGGATGGAAAGCAGATCCGAAGTTACATGGGGTAGTGTGGGAGAGGAGGGGGGATTGTCTACAAAGGGGCATGAATAACTGTTCGCAGTGATGAATTGGTTATGGTGATGGTTATAAGAGTGTATACACTTGTGAAAACTCACCAAACTGTACACTTAAAATGGGTCCATTGTGTTACATGTAAAGTTGATTTTTAAAAGAAAATTTAAAAAGATGAGGGATCTAGTCTGAATTCTCTCACTAACTATTTAATACTTCCATGTGTTCTTGTGAACGGAACTTTTAGTCTCTTTACATCTTTTCCTTTTGGGAAAATGGGAACAATAAGTTGCTCACCTATCTCATTCAGTTATTGTGAAAATATAAATGAAGTAGCTTATTTCAAAATGCCTTTAAAATAAATCATATACAAATGCTGTGTAGAGGGAATAGTCCATAAACTTCAGGGAAGAAAGGCAAGAATTGTGATAACCAATGTATATAATAATTGATAACCATGATAACAATGATAACCAATGTATAATATATATATATATATACACACCCACTTTGGTGTTTATTTGCAAGTCTTTTAACTTTGTGGAATATGGGCTGTGACTTCCCCTCTTTGGCCATCAGGAAATGAAGAGGTGAGACCAGATCAGAGGTAGAAAACTGGAGGATCACAGATTCTCTGAAGCTTTTCAGACATGGTTTCTTCAGCCCCTACAGTGTAGCCTGTCCAGGGTTCATATAAAATGTGACTTGTTGCCCGTGTCTAAATCTGGAGATTTCACGTAAAATTTTGGGTTTCCAGCTTATCTTTAGAAATTAGCAGATTTGACAAAACAAGGCCCATGTTCCCACATGGCAACAGTGATTGGAATTGCATAATAGCTGTCCCTTTACATGGGGCAGGCACATTAGTGTCCCACAGTCTCCACCACTCCCTTTAGCCTTTCCTATCCTCTGTAAAAACAAGAGGAGAATTAGTTCATTATTGAGTGCTTTACTGTGTATTAGACATTGTTCTACAGCATGACCAGTGGCGAACCAAACAGACAATATCTCTAACCTTATGGCAAGTTGTAAATACTCATCCACATCTCCATCAACAATTAGGGGAAGAAAGTTAGACCAGTGATGCTATATATTTTAGGGAAAATAGAAGAAAGCATGTTTCCTGTGGAAGTAAAAACAAATCCCTACAGATTTAATAGGAAAAATGTGTCTGTGTCAAAATTATCCTGCCTACTTCACTTGCTTGCTTCACATAATAGATCCTTTTTCTCTTTGTGATTCAGTAAATTTGTGGATGAAATTATTTTAGTGTTTCAAAAAAATGCTAGTAGGCAGAAAGACTGGTGCATGCTACTGAATGTTAGATTTTCTCACTTCTGTCCAAACTATCCCCAGCTCAGCTTTAGACTTTTCCATTTAATCAAGATTTGGGATGCAAATCAGTCTCAAATAAGCTTCTCTGTTGATAGCCTTCTTCCACAATAGCCTGAATCCTTTTTAGCTGTGGCTGAGAATCTTATCACCCTGTTCTGTGTGGTAGACATGGACCCGTGCTCAAGAAGTTTCTTGACTGGTGCTGCCTTCCGTCTGCCTTCTAACCTAGTAGTTTACATCTACATTTGCTCAACTGCATAAGGGATAGTGGCCCGCATCTTTAGACTGACAAAACCCTATTAGGCTTGGATTTTGATCTCATGATTTATATGCCTCCTATCTGCAAATAAGCCCTTTTATAGGTATAAATGCTTAATAACATGGCTTCATCTATGTTAGGCATATTGATTTGTTGCTTTGCTTTTAAATTTATTGTGGTCATTGGCTTTGAGAATCCAGGCTGGCTCTTCTCAACCAGTTATGCTGGCTAGATTGTGTGGTAGGCGACTGACCCATTTCTTCAGTCCTGTCTGGAAAGATCATCTTGCTACCTGGCAAAGAAAACTACACTGCTCCCATCTGGTGGTAGTTATCTCAAATTGCAGCATCATCAACCTTGTAAAAGAACTGCCTTGTCCTTTAGTGGTACCAGTCATCACAGAACTGTAGGAAATACCTATTCCCAGCTTTTGTTCTGCAGCAAAATCGGATGTCTCCTTACTATCTAGAGGGGTATTACATGGTTTTTTACTATGATAAGTGAAGTGGAAAGAATGTTTTGTGTATAATCAGGAGTGACATCCCTCCAGGTTCTGCCCAGAACTAGCCATGGACTCCTAAGCCTCACTTGGTTTCTCCACCCATTAAAGCAAAATGCTTGGACTTAATGCTCTCTAGGAGTGCTACTAGTCTGTAGTTTTATGATGTTTTTAAAAATTTAAAATATCTGTAAAATGAATATTCACTTGGACTATTTATAAAACAATTATGAATGTACATAAACATTTTATAATTTATACTATCATTTTCCCAATTCTGATTAATTATAAGATAATATCATGGATTTAAATAACTTCTGGGGGAATAAAAAGAAGATAAATACCACTGCACTAAATGTGCATATTTATTACAAGACAAATTCTGATACCCTAAAAAGTAAAATGTAAATTGATAATTGAGCAGTGTAAGTGGATTTTAAGTATTACAAGAAAATGGAAAATATTATTGAGGTATAAACATTAGAGAGACGGCAATTAAAATCAAAGATTGTATGGTAAGAGCGAGGCGCAGTGGCTCACACCTATAATCCTATCACTTTGGGAGACCGAGGCGGGATTGCTTGAGGCCAAGAGTTCAAGACCAGCCTGAGCAAGAGGGAGACCTTGTCTCTCCAAAAAAATAGAAAAATTAGTCCCAGCTACTCAGGAGGCTGAGGCAGGAAGATCACTTGAGCCCAGGAGTTTGAGGTTGCAATGAGCTATGATGAAGCTACTGTACTCTAGCCAGGGTTACAGAGTGAGACCCTATCTCAAAATAAATAAATAAATAAAAAGATTATGTGGTAAATTTTAGTGTTTATCTGTGTACTGAAGAAGAACATAGTGACAGGAAACATACAAATATATGGTCTCCAGCAAATCATTATCATACATCTGCACATTTGGAACATTTGAGCCCATTAAAAATATTTTTTGCACAGAATTATATTTGTAATTTGTGAAAACATGTAACAGTGCTTTATGATTAAGGCTTTTTTGGTTGCAAGGGGCAGAAACCTACTCAAGCTAACTTGAAAAAGAACTAATTACACTGTAAAGATACAACATGAAATGCTATGGATACTGAAGTGCTGTTGAGTTTCTGGGGAATTAGAATGGCACAGTCAGGACCCAGGTCTGTCTTCTCAGAGGCCCAAGGTCTCTATAATGGCTGCTTATTGATCCGTATCAATTTTGCCTGTAGCTGCTAGCCCTAGTACTATAATAAGCTCCACTCAAGTTCCCATACTGATGATTTCCCTCTGTGTTTCCCTCTATCCAGTTAGTGACCATCTCTGTGTAAAAAATGCCTAGTGATTTATTTTTATTTTTATTTTTTTTGCTGAACAGGGTCAATGGACGGAATATTCAAACTAAATGATGGTGGTCTATTAGGCTGGCAGATGGACTGAGTGTCCAGTATAACTGCTGCTTATTACAAAGTGTTTGACTTTGATAGCTTTGCCTCACCTTATCTGTCTAACCCTTCTTCTCTTAACAGTGGTGTTGAACACGTCATACTGTGCTTTGGAAGTGAGGGTGAGGTTAGGAGTTCTAAGAATTTGTGGAACACTGAGGTGTAGCAGATTTGTAGCATTTGAGAATTACTGTTAGAGTCATATAAATTTCTGTTAATGAATTGTGAAATGTCTTTTAGAGAAAGGTCAGTGCAGATGTTAAAAAGTCTGCTCAATAATTGAGTCATACTTGCCTGGAGTCTGCTGTGTAGAACAGCACTTTTGTACCTATATCTGGTATCTTTCCAATAGCCCATGAGGTAGGGAGAGCAGGTGGAATCTTCAGGGTCTATTGCTAGATTTGAATTGAGGGTTGGAGTGAGGAAGGATGAGAAGAAGAGAAGGAGATTCTTGAAATTAAATTGAACCATTTATAATAGCAACTATTAAAATACTTTCCTAGCCTCTCATTTATGAGGGAAAGAGTGCTGGACATACGTTTTTTAAAAAAAGTTCTTGATTTGAATCGAATCTCTTTGAGCCTCTATTTTCTTTAGCTGGTAATTGTTGTTTTAAAGGGAAAAATAATACCCAACCTCACAGAATTGTGGTAAGAATTAAACAAGAGCATCAGAGTGCCCACGACAGTTGTTGGACTGTAGTTGGGTCGTTTTCTTCTGTTCATTTTCCTGTTTATTTGTGGGTTCTTTGGGAGATAATTACTGTTCTTCCCTTATTCTGAGATACCTATTCAGGAACAATGTCTCTGACTCTTGCCACCTAATCCCACAAGTAATATTTCTGAATTCTGAAAATCTAAGGATGCCTTCTAGCCCTAATGGCTGGCTGGCGGTGGCATCAGTACCATTAACAGCGACAGCAGCAACCTGCAGTCACCAGGGTCATCTGTTTGAATATGACTTAAAAGAGCTTGTGTGTGTTTCTCTCGCAGGTGGATTTGCCATCGTGTTTCTGGTGAGGACAAGCAATGGGATGAAATGTGCCTTGAAACGCATGTTTGTCAACAATGAGCATGATCTCCAGGTGTGCAAGAGAGAAATCCAGATAATGGTAAGGCTGCCCCCCCGGACTTGTGACTGTTGGTTTCAAATTGAGACAGAGATTGTGCCCTCTCATAAGAAAGCCACCGGGGGCCTGTTCCCTTCCCTGAGATGGCAGAGAGGCCTCTGGACAGGATGGGACTGATGGTGGAAGGTGGAGGAGAAAGGAGCATATTGAGAGAATCTTTAGGGTGGAGAAATAGTCTTGAGAATTGGGAAAAGCTTACTTAACTTGGTTCTCCAAAATTAACAGCAGCATTTAATCTGGAAAGTCTAGTTTACAACGAACCTACTCTTCTGGTCTTGTCTCTGTCAGTTACCAATCCCCAGTCCCAGTTTTCAGCCCTCCTGAGCTCTTCAATAATTCTGTGAACATATCCTTACCCAAATTTATATTTTTACATGGAGTTCTTTCCACATAGCATGCTTTCCCCTTTTCTTTGGCCCAGAAACCTAGGCCAAAATCTAGAGAAGTAATAAATACTCTATGATTCCATTTGTGCAAGTCTAAGAACAGGCAAAATTGATTCTTGGAGATAGAAATCAGAAGGTGGTTATCTGGGTGTGGGAAACTGACTAGAAAGGGTAATGTGAGAGGGAACCTTCTAAGCCATGGAAATGTTCCATGTGTTGTTTTGGATAGTGGTTGCACAGGCGTATACAATTGTCAAAACTTAACACCTTAAGATCTGTGCATTTTATTATATGTTAATTGTACCTTAATTTTTAAAAACTTACTCATTTTTCAAGATTCACATTTATATTATGGTTAAAGAAAGTCCCTGTGTGTTAGGTATACATGCTGAAATATGTATTCAAGAGATAATATGATGTTTTGAGAACAGTGAGTGTGTTTAGAAGGGAAACAAGATTGGCCAAGAGTTGATGATGATCAAAGCAGAAAAGTATATGGGAGTTTGTTAGAGTAGTATTTTACTTTCACCTCTGTTTGACATTATGCATAATAAAAATCTTTAAATGTATAGTCTTTTGTCCCTTTGTGTTTCCCTGGTACTGTCGTTTATACCAGTTATATTACTTAACCTCTTATGTTGTAAGTAGTTCTGCCATCAGGAAGTAAGTTATTTAAAATCAGAAACTTTATTCTCTGACACACTGCTTGAAATAGAGTAAGTGCTTAATAAACTTTGGAGGAAATGAATATTTGAATAATGGTAATAGCAGATGCATATGTTCACCTAGCTATGATGATTCCTTTGTGCCCTGGATTTCGATGCTTTTGTAGAGAGCAGAAAGAGATTGAAAAAATGGGTAGTGGTGGTGTTGTAGGGATTCTACCAGCTTTCTTGCCCTTCCAGAGGCTGCTCAGAGTAACTAGTTGTACTGCAGCTGAGCTACTGAAAGAACTCAGGATTTTAGAGTGCCTGGTACTCCTCTGGATTCCAGAGAGCTGAAAACGATTTGGGGAGGAACCGTCAGCACTTCAAAACAACCAGCCATCTCCCAAGGCTCGTATGTACACAGTCAAGACCACATGGATCTGTCTGCAAAGCACCAGTGTCTTCCCACTGCCCTGCAGACTCCTGTTCTTGCTGTATCCCTTCATACACACTATAGGTTTTCTGGGTGCTTCTCATGACTCTTCTTTCTTTCTCCTTGCCCTATACTTGCTCAGATCTCACACACTTTGTTTCCTGTCTTTGCTTCTGCTATTTCCTCTACCTGGAATTCCCTTCTCATTCATTTACTTGTGTTACAAAAGCAATCCCATTGTTACACTTTCTCCCACTCATTTAGAAAAACGTTTGAGAGCTTGCTTTGTGCTAGGCAGGCATTGTAGAGGAGAAACTTAAGACGCATAAGCCCATTAGGAGCTCACAAATTAATGGGTTTAATTAGAAGTTAAATTACATGGGTTCAAGTTCTGGCCCAATTGTGTATTAGGTGTGAGAGTTTTGTTTTGTTTTTAATTTAGTTTATGTTTTTTCAAAACTCAAATATTCAAATAGGTGAGCTAAGCTTGTTATAAAAAAACATCAGTGACAAAGGGAATTCCTATGCCATTTCAAGGTCCCAGGGACAACCACTGAAGGTGATTCTTTTGATATGTTTCCAAATAACATGCTAATATGGCTAGTTCTTGATTTTTCCTCCCTCTTAGGCATTATCTCCTATGGGAAGTAAAGATTGAGCTCTCTTTTATCTCCTGCTTGTCCCTCTCCCCAAATACTTGCATTATTCTTATCCTGCATTCTTCTAAAATACCAGTAACTTTTGGCAATATGTTGGTTATATTAATATTAGTTTTTACATTACGTAAGAAAACTATTCCTACTGAGTCTCCTGGTGGACTCTGATTGCTATGCTTTTCCCATACAACTATATTTTCCCTAGAATTAATAATTGTCGGCCTGGCATGGTGGCTCACGCCTGTAATCCTAGCACTCTGGGAGGCCGAGGTGGGCGGATTGCTCAAGGTCAGGAGTTCGAAACCAGCCTGAGCAAAAGCGAGACCCCGTCTCTCCTATAAATAGAAAGAAATTAATTGGCCAACTAATATATATAGAAAAAAATTAGCTGGGCATGGCGGCACATGGCTGTGAGCTAGGCTGATGCTACGGCATTCTAGGCTGTGCAACAAAGCAAGACTCTGTCGCAAAAAAAAAAAAAAAAAATTCCCCCCCCCCCCCCCCCCCCGCCGCTTTTGGTCTGTGTTTAACCCCAAACTCTCCCTAAGTTGTGTAAATCACTTTTTACATCTTTTTAGATGCATTTACTATTGTCTGCTTTATCATCAAGATTTCTCCCTCAATCTTCTGTTATGATGAAATCTGGACTGGTTGCTCTCTAGGGCTAATTTACAACCTTATTTTGGAATTTCCTAAGCATTCCCTTCTTTGCCTTTCTTTTTTTCTTTTGAGACAGGGTCTTGCTCTGTTGCCCAGGCTGGAGTGCAGTGATGCAATCATAGCTTACTGTAACCTCAAACTCCTGGGCTCAAGCCATCCTCTTGCCTCAGCCTCTCATGTAGCTGGGACTACAGGTGCACACTACCACCCTGGATAATTTTGTTGATTTTTTGTAGAGAGACGGTCTCACTGTGTTGCTCAGGCTGTACTGAAACTCCTGGTTTCAAGTAATCCTGTCACCTTGGCCTCCCAAAGTCCTGGGATTACAGGCATGACCCACTGTGCCTCACCTGCTCTTCTTTCTTAGAACCTATGACTCTTCTTTTTGCTTACTTCCTCATTTTGTTGGAGCTGATTCTCCAGTAGCTTCCTGATATATGGCAGGTAAAATTTTGAGAACTTTGAGATCTGGAAGTATCTATTCTGTGCCCATGCACGTCATAGTTTGCGTACACAGTTCTGGATTGGAACTCATTTCATTCAGATTTTTGAAAACATTGCTCTTCTGTATTTTAGTTTTCAGTGTTGCCCTTGGGAAATCCTAAGTCATTCTAATGCCTGGTCCGTTGGGAGTGATCTATATTCTTTTCCTAGAACTTTTCTCAGTATTTCTAGTGTTTGGAAATTTCTTGGTACACCTTGGTGTGTGCATGTATTATTTATTATGTTAGGTGTTTGGTGGTCCCTTTTAATTTAGAAACCCGTATCCTTACATTCTGGGGAATTTTTTAGTTTGTCTTAGTTGATGGTTTTCTTTTCTCTACACTTTTTCTGAAATTCCCATTATTTGGATGTGGGCTCTCCTGAATTGATTTTCTAATTTTTTTGTTTTCTCCCTTCTATTTTTCATTTTTTTGGTCATTTTGCTCTTCATTCCAACAGATTTCTGCAGCTATTTATTCCAACCATCCTTTTAAATTTTATTTACCAGACTTTTAAATTTCTAAGCCTTTTTTTGTTTTTAATTTTGATGAAGTCCAGTTTATCAATTTTTCTTTTTCTGGATTATGTTTTGGTGTCTAGTCTAAGAAATATTTGCCCAGGTGTTGATTTTGAAGACTTTCTCCTATTTTAAAAAAAAGTTCTATAGTTTGACAGTTTATATTTAAGATCATGATCCACTTTGAGTTGATTTTTGAGTACGATGTTTGAGGCTTAGTTTGAGACTTAGTTTTGAGGCTTAGTTTGAGGTTCATTTTTTTTAAATTTACATTTAGATATCTCATTATTCTAGCACCATTTCTTGGAAAGGCCATATTTCCTCTATTGAGTATTTTTGTTAAAAATCAGTTGGACTTGGTTGTGAGGATCCATTCCAGACCCTTCCCTATTCTCTGTTCTGTTCCACTAATCTATGTGCTTACTCCTCCACCAGTGCCACACAGGCTTGTTTATTGTAGCTGCATCATACGTCTTGAAATCAGTCTGATTCCTCCTACTTCTTTCTAAAAATTTTTCTACCATTTTTAATCTGAAGTCCTATGTGATGTTTTTAAGCCCCCTAGACTCAGACTTCTGTTAGATACAACTCATAACCTGAGCCCTACCTTTCTCGGAGATTATAAGAATTATGAAGGGAATTGGAAGATGTACTGTGCTTTCTAGAATGTGCTAAGGCTTATATGTTAATAATCAAAGAAGCAGATTCCTCTCTGTACTCACAGTGGGGGAAGGGTGGGCATGTTGTACCCAAATGCAAGGAGAACTGTTAGTGGTTTCACATTTTGTTTTTTTGTTTGTTTGTTTGTTTTTTTTTTTTTTTCTTTTCTTTTTTTTGAGACAGAGTCTCACTTTGTTGCCCAGGCTAGAGTGAGTGCCGTGGCATCAGCCTAGCTCACAGCAACCTCAAACTCCTGGGCTCAAGCGATCCTTCTGTCTCAGCCTCCCAAGTAGCTGGGACTACAGGCATGCGCCACCATGCCCGGCTAATTTTTTCTATATATATTAGTTGGCCAATTAGTTTCTTTCTATTTATAGTAGAGACGGGGTCTCGCTCTTGCTCAGGCTGGTTTCGAACTCCTGACCTCGAGCAATCCGCCCGCCTCGGCCTCCCAGAAAGCTAGGATTACAGGCGTGAGCCACCGCGCCCGGCCCACATTTTGTTTTGATAAACACTGTCCACTATTTACTAGAGTCTGGT